ATGTTAGTCGTAGTAGTAGTTCATACAGTAGTAGTAGTGCTAACAGTAGTAGTAGTAGTAGTAGTAGTAGTAGTAGTAGTAGTAGTAGTAGCAGTAGTAGTAGTAGTAGTAGTAGTAGTAGTAGGCAGTAGTAGAACAAACATCGACAAGGGTGCTGGCAGGACAGGTCGACATGTTGATAGCGAGCCGTAGTCTTCGCATGATTGGTTGCGCTGCGTTAGTCATTATCGGTGGCAGTACTGGCACTCGTGATGGATGGCCTAGTAGTAGTAGTCGTAGTAGTAGTAGTAGTAGTAGTAGTAGTAGTAGTAGTAGTAGTAGTAGTAGTAGTAGTAGTAGTAGTAGTAGTAGTAGTAATTAGTAGTAAGTAGTAGTAGTAGTAGTAGTAGTAGTAGTAGTAGTAGTAGTAGTAGTAGTAGTAGTAGTAGTAGTAGTAGTAGTAGTAGTAGTCGTAATAGTAGTAGTAGGTAGTAGTACGTAGTAGTAGTTAGTGTAGTAGTAGTAGTAGTAGTAGTAGTAGGAGTGATGATGTTAGTCTCAGTACTAGTTGCAGTTCTACTAGTAGTCGTGGTAGTAGCAGTAATAGTAGTAATAGTAGTAGTAGTAGTAGTAGTAGTAGTAGTAGTAGTGGTAGCAGTAGTAGTTGTAGTAGTGGTAGTTGTTGTTGTAATCGTAGTAATAGTGTTAATTGTAGTAGTAGTAGTAGTAGTAGTAGTAGTAGTAGTAGTAGTAGTAGAAGTAGTAGTAGTAGTAGTTTTGTAGTTGGTCGTAGGAGTATGATAGACGTAGTAGTAGTTTAGTAAGTAGTCGTCCGTAGTCGTAAGTTCCCCCCCCCCCCCCCCCCGTAGTAGTAAGGTAGTAGTAGTAGTCAGTAGTAGTAAGTAGTGTAGTAGTAGGTCGAGTATGTAGTAGTAGTCGTCGTTAGAGTAGTGTATCGTAGCCGTAGTATAGTAGGGGCCCTAGAGTAGTAGTAGTAAGTAGTAGTAGTAGTAGTAGTATTCGTAGTAGTAAGTAGGTAGTAGTATCAGTATCAGTAGTTAAGTAGTCGTATTGGTAGTCGTATCACGATTGGTTAGTAGCAGTAATTTGGAGTAGCAGTAAGTACTCGTTACACAGTTTTTTAAAAAAAGAAAAAACAAGTTGTAGTCGTCTAGTAGTAGTGAAGTAGTAGCAGCAGTAGTAGTAGTAGTTGTTGTAGTAGTAGTAGTAGCAGTAGTAGTAAGTACTAGTAGTAGTACTAGTAGTAGTAGTAGTAGTAGTAGTAGTAGTAGTAGTAGTAGTAGTAGTAGTAGTAGTAGTAGTCGTAGTAGTAGTAGTAGTAGTAGTCGTTGTCGTAGTCGTAGTCGTAATCGCAGTAGTCTTAGTAGCCGTAGTAGCCGTTCTAGTAGTAGTCGTCGTCGTCGTCGTAGTACTAGTAGTAGTAGTTGGAGTAGTAGTATTCGTATTATTATTATTGTTATCATTATTATTATTATTAGTAGTAGTAGTAGTAGTAGTAGGAGTCGCAGTCGTAGTAGTAGTCGTCGTCGTGCTAGTAGTAGTAGTTATGGTGTTAGTAGAAGTCGTCGGAGTAGTCGTAGTAGTAGTAGTAGTAGTAGTAGTAGTAGTAGTAGTAGTAGTAGTAGCAGTAGTAGTAGTAGTAGTAGTAGTAGTAGTCGTAGTAGGGGGGAGCGGCGACTGCGACGATGACGACTCAATCGGACAAACGTTTCACACACGCTTACAGGGCCGACAGACTCTCGTTGACCCCACCTCCTGGTACCCATCTGTGTTTTTCCCATCCATCCTGTGGTGTTGGGTCATCGTTTTGAAGAGACGGTCCCCGCGTTTCTCCTTCATCCTCCCTCCTCCTCCTCCCCCTCCTCCATCCTCCTTGCGTTTCGCCCACCCAGTACAGCGCTTCGTGGCCTCATAGGGAGCTCCACCGGAGCCCCCAATGGGACCGTCCGCATGCACCCTGGAAGCCAAATTTTGCATCTTCACTCACCCAGTATGGCGACTCGTGGCTTCATAAGGAGTTTCACCGAAGCCCCCAGTATCAGCGTCCGCATGCGTCCCGGAAGCCCAATTTGGCATTTTCGCACACCCAGTACAGGGCTTCGTGGCCCCATTGGGCTCCACCAGAGCCCCCAGTAGGACCGTCCGCGCGCGTCCTGGAAGCTCAATGTGGCACCGTAGGACCGTAGGAGCTCCACCGAAGCCCCCAGTGGGACCGTCCGCATGCGTCCCGGAAGCCCACGTCGGCGCGTTCACCCACCCAGTACAGCGTTTCCTGGCCCCCGAGTGATTTCCACCGAAGCTCCCAGTGGGACCGTCCGCATGCGACCGGGAAGCCCAATTTGGCATTTTCGTTCACCGCGCACAGCGTTTCGAGGCCTCATAGGGAGCTCCACCGAAGCCCCCAGTGGGACCGCCCGCGTGCGTCCAGGAAGCCCAATTTGGCATTTTCACTTACCCAGTACAGCGCTTCGTGGCCCCATAGGGAACTCCACCGAAGCCCCCGGTGGGACTGTCCGCATGCGCCCCGGAAGCCCAATTTGGCATTTTCACACCCAGTACAGCGCTTCGTGGCTCCATAGGGAGCTTCACCCAAGCCCCCAGTGAGACCGTCTGCGTGCGCCCCGGAAACCCAACTTGGCATTTTCACATACCCAGAACAGCGCTTCGTGTCCCCATTAGGAGTTCCACGATTGCCCCAGTGGGACCGTCCGCATGCGTCCCGAAAACCCAATGTGGCACTGTCGCCCACCCAGTACAGCGCTTCGTGGCCTCATAGGGAGCTCCACCGAAGCCCCCAGTGGGGCCGCCCGCATGCGGTCCACACGCACACACACACACACACATACACACATACACACATACACATACAATTTTGCATTTTCACCTACGCAGTACAGCGCTTCGTGGCCCCATAGGAAGCTCCACCGAACCCCCCAGTGGGACCGCCCGCATGCGTCCTGCAAACCCAATTTGACAGTTCCACCCACCCAGTACAGCGCTTCGTGGCCTCATAGGGAACTCCACCGAAGCCCCCAGTATGACCGTCCGCATGCGTCCTGGAAGCCCGATTTGGCATTCTCACACACCCAGAGCAGCGCATCGTGGCCCCACAGGGAGCTCCACCGAAACCTCCAGTGGGACGGCTCGCATGCGCCTTGGAAACCCAATTTGGCACTGTCACCCACCAAGTGCAGCGTTTCGTGGCCCCATAAGGAGGAGCTCCATTGAACTCTCCACTGGGACGGTCCGCGTGCGTCCTGGAAGCCCAATTTGGCATTTTCGCCCACCCACGCTTCGATGCCCCATAGAGAGCCCCACCGAAGCCCCCAGTAGGACCGTGCACGTGCGTCCTGGAAACCCACCCAGTACAACGTTTCGGGACCCCACTGGGAATTTCACTGGAGCCCCCAGTGGGGCCGTCCGCATGCGCCCCGGAAACCCAATTTGGCATTTTCACCCACCCAGTAGAGCGTTTCGTGGCCCCAGAGGGATCTCCACCGAAGCCCCCAGTGGGACCGTCCGCGTGCGTCCCAGAAGCTCAACTTGGCATTTTCAATTGATCAGTCCCACGCTTCGCAGCCCCATGGGGAGCTGTACCGAAACCTCCAGTGGGACGGTCCGCATGCGCCTTGGAAGCCCAATTTGGCATTTTCTCACCCACCAAGTGCAGCGCTTCGTGGCCCCGTAGGAAGGAAGCTCCAACGAAGCCCCCAGTGGGACCGTCTGCATGCGTCCCGGAAACCCAATTTGGCATTTTCAGTTGCCCAGTACAGCGTTCCGTGGTCCCATACCAAAGCCCCCAGTGGGACCGTCCGCGTGCGTCGCGGAAGCCCCATTTGGCATTTTCATCCACCCAGTACAGAGCTTCGTGGCCCCATAGGGAGCTCCACCGAAGCTCCTAGTGGGACCGCCCGCATGTGGGACGCTGGCATTTTCACCCACCCAGCATGTACATCGCTTCGTGGCCCCATAGGGAGCTTCACCTAAGCTCTCACGGGGACCGCCCGCATGCGTCCCACATACTTGCCCATAGTGATCTCCACCGAAGCCCCCAGTAGGACCGTCCGCGTCCGTTGTTACCGCCCGCATGCGCCCCCCCACCCAGTACAGCACTTCGTGGCCCCATAGGGAACTCCACCGACGGCCCCAGTGCTACCGCTCGTATGCGCCCCCCCCAGACCCAGCGCAGCGCTTCGTGGCCCCACAGGAAGTTTCACCGAAGAAGATATTCACAATTGCGGTACCCACAACTGCAGATGGTTGGGTCCCTCGCAAGGATACTTTTTTACAAGGGGCAGGTTTTGGGTTCAGAGAGGGCCCCTGGCCCCCGAACCAGCACAACATCGGCTCCCGCCGGACGCTTCCGCACTATTTGTTCGAAGTCGCGCTCTCTCGCAGGCAGGATATCCGCACAATGTTTCCAGGAATCGCGCCCCCGCGCCTTCGGCACTCATGAATTACGCTTTCGCTTGAGTCTTCTCCAGATTTGCTTGGGAATCGCGCTATCGCTCGAGACTTCCTCGCGATGCATGTTGGGCTGACGCTTCAACGACCCGCCCGCTCGACCCGGCCGTCTGGGCCCGCCCGCCCGACCCGCCTGTAGGGTCCACCCGCCCCACCCGCCCGTCTTGGCTTAGCCGCTAGCGCTCCTGCGCCTGACCCCCTCTCCTGCTAATCTCTCTCGTGCTCCGTCCTTCTCCCTCCCCCTTGTCTCCTCCCTCCTCCCACCTTTCTTCTGTTTTACGGGTTGCGCCAAGTAAGTGCACGTGGCAGTTAAGGAAGACATATACCAAAGTGACCCCCCCCCCGCGACCCATCCGCGACCCACCCCGTGACCCATCCGCAACCCAGCCGCAACCCACCCCGCGATCCTGTCGCGACCCACCCTCGACCCACCTTGCGGCCGCCCTCTTCACTCTTATTCGCAACTGCGGGGTGCGACGTCAACTTTCGAAGAGCTGGACCGTCGAAAGTGTAAGTTCATGCATTTCTTCTTCCCCCAGGATTCTCGCCGATGCCCGAGCGCCAGGGCATGCTCGTCCTTCCACGGGGGCCTCGGACGAGATCCTGAGGGCCTCGGCTGGGCAGTGGTGCGCGTGGCTGCAGGGCCCCGAGTTCCCCCTGACGGGCTTCGAGCCGAAGGCAATCGTTTCTGACCAGCCCAAGCAGGACACGGGAGCCGGGGTGGGCACGACTGCCGAGGACGACACCGACAAAACCGAGCAGGGTGAGCTCCGAAGACCCGATCTCCGAAGACCTTCGGAGGCTTCATCGGAGGCATCAGGTGTATCGGGGTCGCCTCGAGAGGAGTCGGACAAACTGGCGCCGGCGCCAAACGCCGTGGCTCCACTGGTCATCCACAAAGGCTTTCACGCCAAGGCGCTCCAGCACAGGCCTGTCTTTACTGGAACGAGGCCCTGCTTCCAGGGCCACTACTACTACGAGGTGAAGATATGCTACAACTTCGCTCGCTCGCCTGAGGATCTCTACTCGGCCCTCAGTACGGGCCAGGACGTCGACGACGAGACCAAGGCGAAAAAGGGAGGCGCGGGATCCATTGGGTGGAGCACCCCCGCGTTCTTGGGAGACCACCTTTTGAAAGGCGTCGGCGACGACAGGTTCTCGTGGGGCTACGAAGGCGGCAATCCTGGGAAGCCTGGTTTGATTAAATTCTGCGGCAAGCGGTTTGGACCGAAGCTGGATCACGCGCTGCCCAAGTGGGAGGAGAGAATGGTCGTCGGCGTCGCGTGCTCCATCACAGATAGCCAGGCGAAGATGTACTGGACCCTGAATGGCGAGCTCTTTACTACTGATGAGCCAGACCCGGTCGACTTGTCTGTGTATTCAGAGCCCGGCCTCGTGCCAGCGATTTCCTTGCATGAAGGGCTCGAGATTCAGATCAACCTTGGCCCGAACTTCTGGTACGGGAAGAAAACAGGGAGCAGCCTGGTCACCCCGTGGGCTGGCTGCGAGCAGCCTTTCAAGCCAGTGCGGGCGCTCAAGGCGGGCGAGGCAGGCACCTTCGGGGCCACCATGCCGCAGAGGGTCCGCTCCGGCTCTGTGACTTCCGTGGACGGCGGCGAGGACACCGTGCGACCAGGCCCGGACGGCGAGGGCGCTGCCACGCTGCAGCCGAGTGTCCACGACATGGACCTGTGGAAGGACCTCATCCTCAGCATCATCCTCATCCTCTCCTCAGCCTCATCCTCATCCTCATCCTTCTCCTGATCCTCATCCTCATGCGCATCCTCATCCTCATCCTCATCCTCCGAGGGGCCGCCAGAGCAGGCAGCGTCTGGAACGGGAGCCGCCGGTGCGGCCGTCGCAGCCAGTGAGTGGGCTACTGGTGATTCTGCGGGGGAGTTGAGGAAGTGGGTGGAGAAGCACGAAGCGGCATTGAAGACCGGCGTCCACTTGAATCTGTCTGGCTTTCTGCAGGTTGAGACTCAACGAGGCGCCATGGCTGTAATCGCAAAGCTGCTGGACATCCTACTGGAGCGCAAAGCACAGATACACTCCATCGACCTGAGTCGCAACCCACAGCTGGGCCTGGACAGGGAGAGCCAGGACCGGGTCCTCCGCGCAGTGGCAAAGCTCATGAAGGACCCGAAGATCCCGCTAACGAAGGTGGTTCTCGGCCAGTGCAAACTTCAAAGCGATGACGCGCTGAATACTCATTCGACGGGCCTCGGGTCAGTGATTGGGGCCTTGGACCCGACGCTACCAGACGGCTTCAGAGTGAATGAGCTCGATCTTAGTGGCAACGAGCTGGGAGAGGCGATGCGTCACGTGTCCGACAAGAAAAAGGAGGATCACATAAGAGCAAACTGCATAAAACCAACAAGCTTTCGGAAGACCGCGCGTATTTAGTGGATTTGCGCTGGACCCCCCTGGCGGCGCGTCCGGCGCCGCCATTGGCGCGCTCCGCGCGCCAGGGAGGGGAGCCCAGCGCCGATCCAAGAAATCCGCGCGGACCTCCAACATGTCATGCTTGTGATGGTTTGCTGTCTGCCTCGCGAGGACGAGATGTTCGTCCAAGACCTGCTCCTGTCGGTCAGGACGCTCTCGCTCCAGGGCAACGAGATGAACTACCAGGACCTCCGCGGACTACTGCCTGGGCTCACGGGCAGTGCACAGGTCAAAGTGGTCAGGGATTCCGACCCCTGCAGGTCCCCAGACCCTAAGTTTCAGTCGGGCGTGTCCTTCTATGGGAGGAATATTCAGACAGAGTCAAAAAATTGTTTGCGGACGATCTTTCGACCATTTGCGAATCTGTTCGATTATCGTGTGACTAGTTGTTATTTCTCCTCCAAAATCACCCTGTAGGAGGACATGCCCGACCTAACCCGAAGCTCTGGGCGTGGCAACCTTTCGTGCTGCGAGCTTTCTCGGCCGCACTCGGGCCCCTGGCGCCCTCCACTGAATCTATATCTGGCTCGGAGAATGCAGCAGAACGATAGGGTCCAGGGCCCTCGTCGTGGTCTTGCGCGATGCCGCAAC